TAAAAATTTTAGAAAAACAGAAAGCAGATTTATAGAAAAACATGATACGGGTTAGTTACTAACCAGTTCTTTGATTTTTTTTTACAAATTCTTAGCCTTGGCGATTTTAAAACCAACACTGCTACGAACGCCCACAACGACATGCGGAAAAATCAGCTTGTTTGATTTTTTCAAAGCCAAAAATTTATATATTGTGATCACGCCAACTATTTGGGGTCTGTTAATTTCGTTCCTGCAATATACTTCACCAGTATAGATACCAATAACTAAAAATACCTTGACTCAGAGCATATTCACTAAAATATAAAGTTGGTAGGTAATGCAATACTGTAATATATACACCACCACAAATTTTACATTGTTGGCAGAATAATGCTGATATTTTTAAGCTCAGAAAATATAACTAAACCATATTCCACACATTCTAACAATGGACTGCAATATGCATAATAATTATGACAACAGACAGGCAGAAGGCTGGAACTTTTCTTTATCAGCAATGAATTTTCCATACTACAAATTGACACAAAATAGTTATTACAGGAATTTACTCAATTTGTAAACATAAAAAAAATAAAATATAAATTGCAATTTTTGTGATACAAACTAACAAACTGAGAAAATAACGAAACAGAAAAAAGCTGCTTAATTTCTGAAAAAATGCTGATGTTAAAATTTTCGTGTGATACTTGAACATTTCAAATTTTTTAGTACAACAAAATGGTGTTTATGTTTTTAATGATGTTTGTGTTTTTTTTTTATGAAAATATAAACATATCTTCGAAGTTTAAAAATGAATCTAAAATATTAGTTTTAGAGTTTAAGATTGAATTACTTTCTTTCTAGATGTTTTTAACGCTTACATAATTTTTGGTTTAACAGATTAATATTTTGGTTTAACATATTTTTTAATCAAATAATTAGTAACTTCGAAATGTGAAGTCGTAAAAATAAATAGTTGCTCCTAGCCATACGCATTTTTATTAATACGTCTAATCATTGAAATACATAAACTTTCCTTTTTCTCGGTTATTAAAAGTGAAAAATCACAACAGATGCGAAGACTTAAAATTAGGTATGTATTTACTTTCATGTCGTTTGATATTAATCATTATGGTTTATTTATAGCAAAATTCGGATGAAGACTGCAAGTCAGTATCTACAATTTTATTTGTCTATAATCCGGTTATTTTGATCATTTCTTTCCAAGAGAAACTGATAAACTTTACTTCCCGAATGATAACTAAAGGAAGTGTTGTAATAGTAAATTTTCAATATCAACTTACAATACAAAGAAGCAGTTTCTTCTTGCAATTTGTTAACAATTTTATTGGGTAGATAATCTCTGAACTATCAAACCGATTACTTTGAAACTGAGTAAGTAAATTTCACCTTAAATGTGCCAAATAACATGCTCCTTGATCCGTGATACCAAATCTTAAAAAAATAGCCTTGGACCATCAAACTACAGTTTATCTCAAAGATTACAGATACAAAACTCAAAAAAAAAAGAATAAATAAAAATAAATATATTTATCCACGAAAATACGATCTGTATGTGTTTCAGTAATATTATATTCGTTAAAAATTCATTTCGTTTGTGAAATTTTTCAAATACAATCAGAATCAGTATTCTGCTCTTCAACTCTACTGAAAAATACGTCTTTATTAGCAAATTGTATTTGCTGAGCATCTATTTAGCCCACCATTCCCTGATGGTGACGTCCCATTTAACGCGGAATAAAATTCGCCAAAATCTAAATTTGGTGAATGGACCTTCTTTGTGTGTGAATAAAACGTCTCATAAAATTTCCCGAAATACGCCAAGGAAGGATATTAATAAATTTCGAACAGTACCTGTACAATGACCCCTCGTAAAAACAGAAACAACTTAATCACATGATCTTAACATGACAGTATCCCTTATGTCTACAAGTTTAATGGCATCAATCAACAGTTACTACTTGGTCGTTCTTCAACAATAGTTAATAATTAATAGGCACCAGTTTCAATGTCTAAAAATAGTAAGCCAAATCAGAAGTGGGCGGCGTTTTACATTTACACAAGAACACAGCGTTGTCATAAACATTCATCGGATCACGTGATAGAAGATAAAACATCCGGCAACTTGGTGTCGGTGCACTGACTCAAATCGGGAAAGCTGAAAGGTTATCAGCAAGTAAAGAGTCGTGCGAATGTGCTCGACTAATAATTCCAAAAATGGTAGTCTAATTCTAAATGCAAACGTTGAAAATGTCGCTTTTTACACCAACTTTCGTAACATTTACACATTTATGATCTTTTATTTAGATGAAATCATAATTTACAACAGATTCACCAACACCACGATTTACATGAAAAATGCACCCAGCAACGCTGATTGTTGTTAAATGTAATATGTTTTAAGTTTATCAAGTCGTTTAAAATTAAGACAGTTGTGTTGCCCTAATCTAATATATGGAGAAAGACCCACCATAAACTCACTTACTCTACATATAAATGAGAATGTCTTCGTAGTATTGAATTTGATACTATTTTGATGTGCTTGTCTCAAATGATAACAATTGTCAGCAGAAATATTTTATTGTGCTACTGACATGAATCAACAGGTGATGGGTTTTTAATCTGTGAATACAATAGACAGAGAGACAAATGCGGATTATTTAGATTATAGAAACTTTACACATTTTTATTCAACAAAAACTAGGCCAATTTTTACAATTATTAAACGATTATTGGTATTATTATTTAAAATTCGTGCTATAATGGTCGCACCCTCATTTTTGGGTAAAATTATAGAATAATAATTTTTGTAAAAACAAATAGGACCTATATTCAAAAATAACTAAACGAGCAAAAATATTTTCAATAAAAAATTAAAAAATGCTTGCTTTAAACGTCAATAATTGTCGTTCGTGATTTTGCTTTAGGCATGAATATTTGATTATATAATGTATATTGATAAAAACAATTTACACCATGAAGATACTTTCTTTCTACATCACTTCGACGTGGTCGTGTCAGCTATTCTGACATCTACAACATGGAATTAAATACATACCATTTTTCCTACTTCAATGAATTATCTTGTCCTGCTGTGACTAACTCATAATTATAAACACAAATTTGTTACACACATTCAGACTTTACATATAAATTTCTAATTTTATTATCATAAACAATCGTCTACAACCTGAATCTAGATTACATTTCTTTGGTAGAAAACGGGTTTTTTGACAAGAATAACTACTGTTTTTTCTATAATTAAAATTTAGTGTTTTTGGGATCATATGCATAATTGATACATAATTGAAAAAATTAACACCACCACTTCTAAATTTGGACTATAAAGATTACCACCAGCAGCGATGTCAAATTCGGCAAGACAAATACGTTTACTTACTTGGAGGGCAAATTATTATCAACCCTTGGGCATCATAAAACACGGTGTTTACAGATCTACAACGAGTTGGATATCAAAGAATGAGAATTACGAATGCTGAAAGATATCACAAAAGAAAAAAGTGATATCATCGAAGACAAAGACAAAAAATAATTAACAAAGGAGAATTTATATTTATGAATAGAATCATTTAATTTCAATGAGAGATCTCAACATTATTACTGCAAGGTGTTAACGACTGCAACACCTACTGGTGTTCATATCGGGAGACTCTCAAACTTCTAATGCCCCCAAGTCTTATTTTAAGAACACAGATTGAAAATACCTTCGTTAATGTAGGGGGCAAAATTTATGGCGGGTACGAAATACATAGAACCGGTTCGAAACACCACTCCGACAAACAATGAAGCTTATACAGGAATTCATGATTTCCATAATTATCACTTTAGAGTGACCAAAATTCGTGCACTACATCTATTTGCACCCCTAGTACTTTAGCATCTATTGGTTCTATACTGGTGATCACACTTTCAGATGTACAACAGAAACAATTTAGCGTATACTTACAACAGGAAACGGTGGCTAATTCGATAAAAATCGCACAGACGAATTTTAAAAATTTAAATGGTCATTTGTAAATTCCATATGTTTTTGTGGAATAAAATCTATCTCTTGTTCTGTTCTGCGTTCGCTATTCTGAATTATTTGGTTTTGTCCATTTTGTTATAGATTGGCGAGTGAACGATCTAAAAACTCCCACAACCCCAACTAATGGAAACATATTGTACACTCAACACGGAAATCCTGTCGATGATTCGTGTGGAAATTTTGTATAAAACTGCTTCATTGACGCCAGCGAAAAACCCTAGTCGAAAGTTTGACGCGAGTTTGATAAAAAAAACCGTAACATTTGTATGGACGTTCGTCGTCGAATATCGACGTTCGAAATTAGGTTAAAAACGAACCTTCCGCACGTCCGGCATCCACCACCTGATCGTTTTCGAAGTGAACGTACCTTCCGTGTCGTCGCTGCAGCAAAGTGGGTCACTCACATCTGCGGTATTATTTTTAGGGTGGCAAAGGTGCCGTCACTGCAGCGCGCCTCGCCCATGATGGGCCCGGTCCCTTCTCCCCCATGGTTATGAATGGGCTAATCGGCGGCCATAACGTTCAAGATGAATAGTATGCGTGACGTAGCGCGCACCCCCTGTCTAGACAGACAGGGTTGGGGAAGGCCACGGCGCAAGCACGGACATGCAACCGGAAGTAAAAGACGCGAAAATGGTGGCAGAACGCACTCTCCACATCGCCCGAACCTATCGATTTTCGCCGCGTGCACGTGCACCGGCGGCGACCCGGCATCGACGGCGAAAACGAGCATCGACGGCCTCGGCCAACTGGATCCGATGGCATTGAGACCGGCCCCGCTTCACACAGCCGCAATCCGGGCCGAATTCGGAGGAATCTGCAGCTGCAGCGGACGCCGAATTCGCACAGCGGACGCGTTTTACCTGCTCAGGTAAAAATCCCGAGCCACTAACGGTCGTCCTCAGGCACGATCGAGTCACCTCACTGCACCGCACTCTTGATCGCACTGCCGACTGGCGCGGCACCGGCGCAGGCGGCGGCCGCGGACCAAATGAACTGCCAAGGACTGACTGAGAGGAGCACATGTCTGGTGGCGGACAGCGGCGGCGGCTGCGCCTGCCCCACTCGCTCCGTCTCGCTCCCACCTATTCAATCGGACGAGACGGAAGGCGGCAGTGCGTCGCACTCCACCACGCCCGTAGGTAGCAGACCTTAGCAACCGTTGCCATCTCAACCGAATGTCTTTTCGCGGAACGGGTGGGGGAAGTGTCTAGAAATTATCAAACATACGCTGTACCCTTTCGTCAATCGTAAATAATAATAACAATAATAATAAAACTCGAAACGGCGAGGACGGCGAGACGGTCAATAAAACCGAAAAAAAACGACACTCGTCGCCGATCGAAAAACTATCGTCGATAAACACAATTGCAGTGCGACTAATTTACTGCTCGGCATTGAGGAAGCGCCAATCAAAGTGAGTATGTTATAATAAAAATATCGATTGTCATGGAAACGGGATGGTTCGTTCTTCGTTCGGAAATTGCCCGCTAGAGGGTGAATGGCGAATTCTTTCTTATCTCGTACTACTTGCTTGTTCTTGAAACAACTCTCATATCGCCGTATTGATATGTTTCGGTGAAAAACATTCATTTCCCGTTTCTTCTAAGCGAGGAGAGGGGAACCGGCGGATTTTCAGAGAAGAGATGAATGCTCATTTTCAGTTGTTGATAAAGAAATATGGCCCGGGCATGACGAGACTGCGAATTTTTGAAAAGTGCGCTCGAGAGAAAAGGTTCGTTTTGCGGTGTTATTTTGAATTTTCCATGACACCCATAAGGGTCACAAATATTTTTAGCGATGACAAGCGGAAAATAGTGTCGCTGGAGAACGAACCGAGGAAATTATGTATAATGCAGCGGAAATTCAAATTTCTGCATTTCACGAATACTTTGCGAAACTTTTACTATTATGCTTAGAATCTGACAATTTTTTGTGGTTTTCGAAGTAATAGTTGGGTAAATGAAAGATGTCCAAAAGCGACAAAGACTTACCGAAGTTTAAATTTGGACTTTGATCTCTCGGTGGACTACATCAACACGATAAATCTTACGTAAAATTTTAATTTTTCGCAATAATCCTTATAACTTTCCTAGTTTTCATTAGTAAGTGATCGCTTTAAACATTTACAGATACGTTAAAGATAAAGTTATCGACATTTTTACATTTTTTCGAAATAGTTTTGTTTTATCCAAAGATGTAATTATCTAACAAGCTATTGAGGGGTGCCCTAAAAAGTTAAGAATTGATCTATAGAGTTTAACGTAACCCCGTGCATGTCAGGGTTATTTCTTTTGTAAAGATATATCGTCAAAAATCTTTGCGTCATGTGTCTATTTCACGAAGATTTTTCGTAAGCTGATGATTAATTTTGTTTACTCGACGGTTTGTCACTATGTATTTGTTATAATACGCTAAAATTGGTCTTCTCCTCCATCTGTCTATCGTCCGCCACCTGTTGGCGATTTTAGTAGACAAATAATCTCCGAAGTTATCGAATTGATTGTTGTGAAATTTTGGTACATTTCAGAAAAAAAATTTCAAAACCAGCTCTTCCAACATTTTGATAGGGCAATCGCTAAATTCTGCTAGATAAATCCTGTTTCAAATTTATAAAATATCATGCTTCTTTACTTGTGGTTTATTAATCCGCCTTTATATTTTACATATAATAACTAGTTTTTTTGAAAAAAAGACGAACAACACTTTACAATTTAACTTAAAAATTACAAAAACAAATACTTTAAGATCTTGTAGGTTAGCGTCAACATGGTAAATCGGCAAACGTCTTGTTTTTTAAACCAAGTCCAATTTTATTAGATCTTTAAAATTTAAATCTTTTCTGCGACGTCGTTCATGTTTGCGTTTGACAGTTTTACCTTTGACTTAACAACCCATACGAACTTTTATTTTGAGTTTCACAGGAGTCGCACCACTTAAAACGGCAATTTTCTCCCCAAAAATACGTTCGAACGACGTAGTTTTCTTCATAGGCGCCCATAGGGGCGGGGCAGTCAATGCGTACACGTCATTAATGACGTCGTTTCTTTACCAATCATCATCATCATTTAAGTTAGTGTTTTGTAACATTACGTTGGCACTACTGATAATAAAACCGATGTCGGTTTGTGCATTTGACAGTTTAGTTGTCATTGTTAATTTTCCAAACAGAGAGTTAAGAGCAGTCCATACATTTGGCACATGGGATTTTCAACACATTTTCAGAATCCAATATCTCCATTATTAACAAATTTATTGTTATGAAATTTTAAATTTAACCTGCCCATAATCGCGCTGCACAACAAAAGAACATTTTTTTTAAACAGTTTGTCATCTTCTTATTCGCATTTTAGTCAAATTTCTTATTACGTATTTTTACAAATCGATATCGAAATTCCTTGTGGAAATTTCAGAACGCAGTTTTCGTCACTGTTTTCAGCTTCTAGATATCCACACTATCCAAGAAGCATTATCGACTTTTTTAATCTGAAATGAGATACAGTAGAATGAGATTTTGTCGAAAAAATTGCTTTTACTGTACCTCATTTCCGAAAAAAGTCGATAATGTTTCTTGTGTGTGTTAATAAATGATTTACATCTGGATGACTGAACACAACTGGGAAAAAAAATAACTTTCGAAGAATACAATTTTTTGACGCCAGAAATTGAGTATCAATCTCATAGCCCAACCAAAAATAGGCTTCGATAATAAATTTATCTTCTTCTAGAATCCACATTTTTTAACGTTAAAATTTGATTAATTTAGCGGAAAGTCAAATGGAGCAGCACCTTAATAAATTAATTTCATAACCCACTAGATGTAAATCATTTATTCACACCCTATATGTATACAGACAGAAAGTATATCACAAAAATTTAAGGGTGCCCCCTCACTCAAAAGTTTCTATTAGCTTTTTAAAACCAAACCTTATCCGCTCTAAGTCAAGTTGCAAGATTTTATTTTCACCATAAATTATGTCGTGAGTTATATAAGCCTGCTTCAATTCCTACCCCTTCGTGATCATTGTTTTTCTAATTTGGTTCCTGCTGCATAAAAATTATGGTAATGGTATGGATCTACGACTTCTGGCTTATAAATATACCTATATTTTTTCAAATGATTTATCCAGAACTTCGCAAAAAATTAATGAATGAAGACATTTATTTTATGTATTCAATTAAAAGGGACTTCAAAAAACGACATGTTATTTTTCTGAAGTCCTAGAACACACTCTTATTATTATTAGTATTAAATTGTATCTATTAAAATTGATATATTTATCCCCATCACAAAATTTTATTGAGAAAAAGTCACTTAAAACATGCGTAAAGCATTTTTTTTAACTTAAATAAAATTTTGTTGTTAGTACGATGTTTCACGATATTTTGACATAAACTTGACGTTTCAGTTTCATACGAATCATAAGCTAATATTTTCAACTTCCACAGTGTAAAACCGGTTACTTGATTTTTCTACGATCTATGATTTTCGACATACTTTGATTGTAACAAAAATCTTTTGTGTAATTTTAAGGTCTATCCCACAACGCTGATCAAACATTACTGCGCCCTAGAATTTAAGACAGACTGCAGATTAATTACCACAATATCGGTTTGACACCAGATTTGTTTTGCAAAATTTTGGCATGGCGTCATCACATTCCTGGGTAAGATACGAGCACACAAACTTGGTTATCATCTTCGTATTATACAAAAAAAAAGCTGTGAAAAAATTAGACATTTGTCAAAATGTCTCTTTTAGGGTAATTCCCTAACTGAAGCTGTGGAAATAAAAAGCACTCGTCTGTTATCTTTTTTAAACAAAGTGTTTATGACGTCGGAACTCAATGACATGGCAACAAACAAACAGCGTCAGAAAAGACAATTAAGAAAATTAACCTACCTCGAACATTACATCTAACTTTTCCCTGTTTTAATCAGAGTTTTAACGTCAAACAGTGTTTATTTGTTACGAAAACAGTGACCGAACAGTTTCTTTTGCAAATAAACTCGCATTAAACTTAAATTCTCGGGAGCAATAGGCCCTTCGTTCCTCATACGTTTCTGTAAACAGTGTCAGTTGCAAATTAACTGTCACGGTTTTATTAATGGTGTACACACTTATTTCATACCCTCATATCCTAACTTACATACGTTAACGAGAATTACTAAAAGTAATAAACAAAAATAAAATACGGTGGAATTTTCCAGGTAACGGAAAACAAGCGCATTTGAACTTTCATATTTAATCTGTGTGAGGTCGACCAGATTTTGACTTTTACTCGGTAATAAATCACAACTCAGTTTAAGTTGCTGAAAAAATAGATCTACGAATATTACATCGAATTTTTTCATGAAGTTTTCAAACTCCGTCGCAAAGTTTTCATCCCGCCCTAATAGAATTTCGCAAGATTTTTGTCCGAACGTCGTTTACATATAGAATAGAAATAGAATAGGTGGATGAACCCCTCACCACAAAAGTACCTCGTAACAGTCACTGCTTGTCTCTTGATTATTTAAATTTATTACATGCAAAGTACATACAGCAAATCAGAAAATAATCGGTGATGGCGTTTTACATCCACGCTTCACGTACAAGACCGAAACAGGAAGAGAAGAGTACGTTTAAAAACAAAAATGATAAATGTGAAGTCCATGAAACTGGAGTTAAGCGGTTTCGCAATGAAACCGTAATGGCTAACCCGCCGTTCCCCTACAGAACAGAAAACGTAAAACAATTACTTAGAATTAAGACAGAAAACCGTGTCTTACCCTGAGTGAAACTCAATACAAAGTTTTACTCAAATGCAGTAAAAGCTAAAGGGGAAAAGCTATCCCTGAGCTAACTACAGAGCTAATACTGCAGTCGTTAGTCAGACCATGCCAATGATTTCCTTATCACATAAAACTAACAAAAATTAAACAGATATACAACCACGGAAATATAATTTCACAAAAAGTTGTATAATAATAATAAACAACGCGCAAAATAAATATTTGTTTCCACTGCATTAAAATGTGTTTTTTAATAAGTCTGATGTGGCAGTCGGGATAGCACAAGCTAAAAAACTGTTTATCGGTAATATCCTGTTGATATACTTTTCGATGTGGCAAGATGTATTATCAACCAGGGCGGTTGAATATACTGAAAAACACGTATATTTTATTTGTTGTTCAAAGAAATACATACACACACACCTTTGAATATTCACAATTGTCATAATGTTCATTAGGTTATTTTACATAACTTCCCTCGCCTCTCGCGAATAAATACAGCAACATACAAAAGAGCTACATAGTATACAAAGCATCGCAATTTTAGAGAACCAAATAAAATATATTTTTTTAACATCAACGTCTATATTTTATTTAATTATGTCGTTTATAAGTGATAAAATTGAAATTTGACAACTAAATGAAGCGTTTCAGCCAAATTTCATTTAACGAATTTATTTCAGACGTTCCCGGCACAGCAAATAATCTGTAAAGAGCGGATTAATATTATCTCCTAGAAGTGCTTTTATGTTAAAATCAATGTATACTCCGAGAAAACCGTCCGTGTCTGGAGTCCTGCGCCCACAATTAGCAGTCTCAAAACGAGAATTAAATTTCCACGAAAATTTCCGCGGATGCTAGGAATCCTATAAAGTTTATTGTCAACTCTCCGCCCACCTGTGCGAACAAAAATAATAAACAAATTTCGTCGAATTTGTTTTTAATTACGCACGGCTCCCTGGCGGCCTACACAAGACGTCATACAGTTATAAATTTTAATTGAATCGCGCTCCACTGTCTGTTAGCACCAAAATGAGTCGAACGAAACGTAATAAAGACAGAGTATTACGTTCGAAATTGTTGACGAACCGGAAGGAACCGACCCATTTGTTACTAGTGGGTGAGTTTGTTCTTGATGTACGTACATTGAAAGTATGTCAAATATACGTCTGGGTAGGCGCCGTGACGTCAAAGACGCCCACACCGCCGCTCCGAACAAGGGTGGCGGCGCATGGGTGACTCGTCACAATTCAATTTTACGATAAGGTGATAAGAGGTAACGGACGTGAGTCGCTACGTTTCACGGCAACCTCGTTTTCATTAACAATCACGAGATAATAAAATCTCCGTGTAGGTAATTAGCCTACAATTTATTCGATAACAAATCAACTTTCTCTGTATGCTCGTATCGCGGAATTTTTAGGAAACACGGATCCAGGAATGCACGTGCACGATTGATCGTTTAATTGAACTGATAACGAGTTGTGCATATTTTGATTTTGTGAAAACTTTGAACCTTTCGAATATAAATTGTAGCTTGTGGTGTGCAATGTCGGAATAAGGGTCAAATTTTTGCGAAGGCGATCATAAATTATCGACAAAACTAAAATTAGGCATCTAAAAGTGACAAAGTTCAAGTGTAAGGCCACTCAAAACTGTCAAAAAAAGACTATTTGTAGCTTACTAGCACACAAGATTTGTTCTTAGAACTTTTTAAATATGGATACTTGAACAGATTTTTATGTTTTGAAATTTCGCGAGTACGTTTATGTGGTTTTGCTGGATGTGGTTCTCGTTTTCTTTCATTCTAGCCCAAAAAGTTTGTTTAAAAAGTTTGGATAATCCTCCCTCTTCGTCTGAAGCGTGACCAATATCCTGACATAAGTGGGCGTATTTTTCCACAAGGATTTCTTGTCAAAGAAATTTGTGAGAAAAAAAACAATTCGTCTATCAATTTATTAGCATATTTAGACATAATACTTTGTTATATAGGCGCTCGAGTTAAAATATTCGTTTGATAAAAAATTTGGCACACTGAAAATCTCTTCTGGACGTAAGAAACTGCATTCCATGTAACAGTAAGTTCATATCAGTGCCTCTATTTGTTAAGAGCCATCCATTTTGAAAGAGAGAAATTTTAGAAATGTTCTTTTATCGTGTCAAGCATCATGTTGATTAATTGCATTATAAAACCCAATGATTTATTTGCTAAATTATGTACTTAAGTCTTCAATGTGGATATTTAAAGTGAGCTCAAGTTACACCAAGATTTCTAACAACTGACTTCTTCTTTAAGTTCAGACCATCAATGGTATAAAAAGTATCAACAGGATTGGATTTACGCATATATGATACACATAAATATTTATAAGTGTTTAAAATACATAAGGTTATTTTCGGCACAGCTGGGTGAAGTTGTCACTACAGCTTTGCAAAAGCATCATTAAATGAGGAAATTATATGGTGCATCAGCAAAGACCAAGCCATTTGAGAGATTCCAGTAAATCATTAAGGAAAATGTTGAAAAGCAGCGGGCTAAGATTTCAGTCTTGAGAAACACCGTTGAGATAAATTCGTGAGAGAAGAAACCATTATAAAAAACATAATTAATTTGATGCGACAGATAAAATCTAAAAAGTTGAAGGTCATCCAAAATTGCGAAGTCTATAGTTGCTTAAAAGTTCTGAATTACCACCTCTTGGGAAAATTTTAATACCTAACGCCAAATCCATCAGTAAGTAAAGGAGTTCAGCAAGAACAAATTTGCAATCTCTGAGAAAGAAACTAGATATGGAATCATCCCCAGCAGTAAATTTGTTTTGCAAATGTGGACACTATTTCCAATAGCATAAATGAAGACATTGAGTTAGAATCAAACTGAATATTTGAAGCGTCATCAGATCCAAGATTTACCCATTGCCTCGGCAACTATATCTTTAGGATCCGTGTATTCAGTGCCGTCTTCATCGCTTGGTTGAATTGGAATTCTGGAAGTTCCACGTTTAACGTTAAAAAAAACTTCATAATGCGGCAGGATTAAACCTGATATTTTGTTCAGTTTTGCAGATATAAGAACGCTAAGAATGTGAGATTTGTATTTTAACTGGAGCTCCAAGCTGCTTGAATTCCTGAGAGTAATTTTGATTTCCTGTTCTCATCCATTTATGCCTAGAATAATTCTTGCTCTTTGGTAAAATCAAAATTATTCTTGGTTTAATTTTGACTGTGGTATTAACTCTTTACTTTAATTAAACGGAAGCTAAAAATTTAGCCAACATGCAACAGATTGGGGCGTACATGAATACATGATTAAGCTATAGATTAAGAAGCACATTACTACGCAAACTTTTGAAATGATGTCATCAGATTTTTTATGGGTAAATAAATCTGGTTGGCATTGTACAGTCGCTACTATAACCTTAAGACAGACGTAAAACTTGACAAAACCCAGTAAAGTAATTTTGGAGAAGCACAGCTACATACAAACGAACTTGAAGATAAACTTAAATTAGAATTCAATTTAGAACAGATATACCTAAATGAACGGTTAATAAACAAGTTTTTAGAATATAGTAAACAACCCTCATATGTACAGATTGTTTTATTCCTTGACATAAAAGTTCAGTAATAATCACTTTGAATGTATTTACATTGAAATGTTTGGATGCGGGTTGTGGTTGTGCTTACTAAACCACACATTATGACTCGATAGTTCGATTGTACGGTAATCCATACTTTTTCTTATCTGGTGTTTGTTTTAAAGTTTCAATATCAGTTTTTTCACTTCCGTCTTACGTACGTACGTACGTAAAAGATATGCAAAAGAAACCTGTATCAGTTGACATTTTTATATCTGTAATGAATGGGTTTAGAACTAGCAAATTTATTGTAATAAAAGAACCAATAAAAGCCCCAACTCGTGGTAAACGCGTTTGTTTCTAGTGAATTTTTCTTTCTGTTGGTCTCAAATATTAATTTATTATAATATTTCTGTTCAATGTACTTCGATCCGCATTGGGTTAAAATATTTCCACTGTGTTCAATGTCACCAAGACGGTTATATACGGTGTTAAAACAAATAGCACATGATGCGAAAGAGTAACAAAGACAATCAGTCCATTAAAGTGTAACAAGAATGAATCATGCGAAAGGAATGTAAAAAACTAAAAATAAATTTGAACAATCCAGAAATTAAAAAATATATAAATTAGATGATTTTTTTTTTCAGACTATACTTAGGGTACGGTAGACTTAGAAAGAATGTTTACACAAGCATAAAGAAGACAGGAAAACAAGTACAACCGAGAATAATGAAAGCATATGTTGAATAATGATCGTTTGAAGTCCATTTAGTTACACTTAAGGGTCAGACACAGTTCAGCAGTTTCAGCACTGCAGAGGCAGGAAACCTGGAATTACGTAATTTTATTTACCTAAAATAAGAACGGAAAGTGCCTTTTTCCTGAATGAACCTGCAGATTTCAGGATGACGTGGAAGATTCTATTGCATATTAGGCGCTCAGACTATTTAAAGTAAAAATTTTTGCTTCGTTTATTTATTAAATGTATAAATATAAAAGTTACGTTAACTACTGGAAACTTTTGTCTTAACAAAACAAACAAAGCAAAATTGGAAATTACTCATGATAAATAATACAAAAAATACACTTCATTAAAGAAGGGGCAAAGGTGAAGAACACAGTGAAATCTTTCACACAAAGGGGCGGGTATTCAGTGCTGAAATTGACATTGATAGTTCACGAAAACGTTGATAATATTATGTTCCTCAAAGAATCTCTTGTTTGTTAAATAAATGGATGCGGCACAAACCCAAACACTCAGGCCGGCGTCTGATGATTACTTGTTGATGAAGGTGAATTCCAAAATTTTCCCTAGTTGGTATTATATAACTCATATTACAGGTTGCATTAATAGCCAGTCTTGCCGGGGGATGTAGAAGAGATGATTTGGCCAAACTACAAGATTCTTGTTACCTTGTTAGCATCCCAGATTTGAAAACGTACAGTGAGCGAGCTTTCGTAGCTGTTGATGAAGAAAATGTAAATTTGAGCGTTTCCTGGAATAAATCTCCTTGCGTGCTAATAACGACTCGCATAAAGATGGTCCATATATTTTAAAAAAGAAAAGAAAAACTACCATCCCACACGTTGGTGTTCTTCGTCCACAGTTTTGGACCGATTCCATTCATACTTGCGTGCTTTGAATTACTGAGTTCACAGGAATATCAATATTTTGTGTTTTCAGCCGACAGTTTTCTTATTATTTTGTTACGAATTACGACAAAAATACAATATAACAGAACAGGATCTTTATTTGGAATCGATCATGTTCACACTTATAGTGGAGAGGATATTACTAAACTGAAAAGAACTACTACGTTGGAAGATAAAAATAAGCACCGCCGATATAACAAAAAAAAATCATCAGTAACATTCTTGCATAGCTGGTACATCATGTTCTGTCGACTTAATGGTACAAATTGTATAATAAATGCAGATGTCAATAATTAGATAAAGCTAATGTCGCAACAAATTAATTTAAATAGTCAATTTATATTGGTGGGCTAGTCTGGGAAAAATCCATTTCCTGCAAATAGCTCGATTAGTTTGTTATTATCTCACGCCTCATCTGAATAAACTTGTGATTTGTTTTTGCATTGTAAATTTCAAAATTATATGTTATCCCATTAAAAAACTGATGACGTAATCTCAATAAAATTTAGATAAATGTAGATTGGAGGAAACTGTGATGCACAATGGATAGGTTGTGCGGTCAGAAGTTAGGAAATTAAATAAATTATTATTATATAAAATGCCTATGATATTATAAATACAAAAATGGTGTTCCTTGTTTTTTAAGTATTACAAAATAAAAATTCGTTTCACAAAAAAATACAAGTATTCAGTAATGTCAGGACAAATCGTAGTCCGATGAAGTTAAGCAGTTATTGAAAACTGAAGAATGAATTAAAACTGAGTTTTTTCCAAAATATAATAGCTCAATGATCCCTCTCCATCTATTTTTGGGCCCACGTTCATCAACCCACCACATCGCCTCCCCAACAATCGCCGTTCTCTGAAACCACGAACTGCAAAGTAAATATTTATCCAACATTAATGATTATTTTCAACATAAAAATCATGTGAACGTAGTGACACGAAAATCCTACACGCGCATTCTCTGGCGAACAATCGGCGTGAAAATAGAGCAGTTTCTTGGCAAATTTTTCTAACGTTCGCACACCTACCCACAACTCTTATCTCCCTATGACCTCGAAATTTGCATGATGCATACGATTTAACCTCGCTCACAAAATTCTATGATTCATTCATAGTTACGAAAATCGCGCACAGATTGATCTAGAACTTTTGTCGTTTCACGTTGGCAAACCTGTCACATATAACTTAGCTCGTTCGGTTGCGCAGCGAGCGTAAAAATTTCGCAACACTAAATACGGTACCGAGATTAGTGTAATGACTTGTTATAGTCTTGGAAACAAAGAAACACATTAGAAATTTCAACTGATAAATCACAAATCCAGTTGGTATTTTTATTGCAGCTGGTCGACTTGCGGAGTGGGCGTAATATCTTTAGGAATGCGCTATAGATATGCAAGATGCAATAAATTGCAATAAAAACTTGCCGCAATGAATCATTCAGCGTCTTTGTTTGTCCAAACTGCATTTTTGTCTAGACTATGGGGGCGTTTTTTAACATTTACTGTCAAGTAAATAACAAAACCATAAAAATAAACTAGCACTCCGACGATTTACCGGGAATATAGTTTTTTTATGATCAGCCTGAAAGGTTGGCACCCCCGACAATCGACCGTTCTTCACAGACGCACAGGTTATTTACACGTGCTCTTTATTTTTCCTAGGTCCGCCCACCAGACGATGGCACCAGACGACCACGAAGGATTTACTTGCGAAAAATTTGTTCAATGTATTAAGGAAATTGTGGCAATTTCAGACGAAATTGGAGATGGCTGGCAGCTGCAAACGAAAGAGGTATTTTCTATTTTCCTGTGTGAGAGCAATAAACAAACTCGGTGAAAGATGGAAAGAAAACCTTAAAAGTTTTTTCTTACGAACGAACACGTACTACAGCCCCTGTACAAATTTTTCTTATGTCAATTTGCAAATTATATTCAGTATACCTGAAAACTGAAGATCTGAAATGTGTGTAATAATCTCATGAATTATTATTAGTTTCTAAATAGAACAAATATGTTGACATTTCTTTCATTTGTCAATAGTTGATGGTCTTATCAAAATATTCTACCCTTTTGAAGAACTAAAACGATATCATAAATTATTAGATTTCCGATTCTTTCAATTCATTACAGTCGATTGTTAAAAAGAATCTTCCTTTAAACGAAAAATTCAAAATCTTCTATTCCTATTGCTGAAACTTGTGTAGCAATCGAACATTTGATGTTGAAGCTTTACAGCTTCTGTTACTTTTTTGCCTTAAGACTGCTCGCTCTATACCTGAATATCATATCAAGCGTAACCCAGAACTAAGAGAATATATTCCTCATACCACTTTGTGAATCGAAAGACAATTTTTTTGCAATAGTTTAGACTGATACAAAACACGCAACTTAGGAAACTAATACACTTATTAGTACCTATGAATAAATAAGCTGATAATACTTAAATTTCATTCCTGCACTCTAATTTTGAATTTTCCTGTAGTGAAAGCAGCGATTAATAAGGTGAAAGATGTCATGAAGAATAATCGAAAACCGATATCTAAGTTTCGGAAATGATTCATTGATGACAAATTTCTGTTGGAGCGCATACCGTGATACACTAAAGAAGAATCTTGGGATCTTCAACTTTTGTTTTACGGTCATTTTCTTAATCATCAATTATCCAAATTAAGGTTTTGCTGTCTGAGTAAATCTCGTTTATGTGAAAATCTGTGGTCATAATTTATTGATTCATCTTTTACCAAGCCTGCGCTAAACACTAACACGTAGTAGGTTCGCGGAAATGTACACGATTTTGAAAATTTATGAATTACCCTATTTGCAAAGACAATGTGAATAATTCATTATATAGATTTTTTATCAAGTTTAGGGTTGACTGATCAGATGATTAGGTAACTAACCTTGATAAACTTATTAACATAACGTCTTATGCTTTATAAACGCATGCATTCTTTGACTTCCAAAATATAAAAAAAGTGGCCGTTCGTCCGATGGATTTGATTACTGTACTTACTTAGCTTACGTTCGGGAAGTAAAAAGATAGAAAATAGTTTAAAAATCAGAACAAACGTAGTTTAAATAAATAATTTTTTATAAAGCAAATAAAATAATAGCGCTTCAAAATAAAACGAGCAATTTTATTGTTGTGTACTTTTTATGACTAAATATCTTTCTTTGGTCAAAGCGCTCAGTCAAGAGAGTCCGCTTTATTTTTGATTCGCTATTTTGTTTTTGAATTATTTTTTTTGTACGTGCATTCTCGATTCATCAGACTGATTCAGAAAATAATCGACAAAGAAATAATTAGATACATTTTTTGGCTTTGTGCTAACCTTCAAATAGCAACAAAAAAACTTCATAAAAACCGTAGAATTCTATTAAAATGTAAATTTATGAGTCACAATTTTCAAGTTACCATAATAGTGACTAGAAAGTCGTTTCATTCATTCGAAAATATTTTTGGTTATCTTCCTCGTTGTTCACTTTTACATTATGCAAAACGAACAGGAAATTATTGAAGGTTTATTGCAGATGTTAATAGTATTCGCTTTAAACGACTGAAATCGATCACAGAAAAAGAAACACATAATGTGTTTTATTTAGAGCGTGCCACTCCATTCATTAATACAAATGTCATGTGCTTTATATAGGGTGGATCAAAGCTTCAAACCCATTAAACCCGTTTTTTAATAACACGGTAGGTTCAAAAATAAAGCTACGTATTTTTTCTGAAACATGTCTTTCAGTTTTGACTGTGTGAGTATTGTCGATTTGTCACGTTTCTACCTGATGCCTAGACCTCACAATAACGACTTGCACTTTGAATACTTTTTGTAGGTGTGATTACTGACTAATAATTAAATCACGTAACCAAGAACTTCACGTTTATTCAGATTTTTCAAAATAATGTGCTTTGTTTGGGTACTGACGTTACATATTCTTGTGAGTTTTTACTTTACTTGCTTGACTCAAGAGCGTGAGAACTCCATAATATATTCATGAACGCGAACTCAATTTTTTTCACAAACAATTCGCATTCAATAGGTGTAACAGTTAAAAACTGTCGAAAGTTAAGTAAGCATCTCCAGATTTTGCTTTCACTAGTTTAGTTTTCTCAAACGGTCATTCATGTGTTTTAGAAAATAAAATAGGCGGAGGCTGCCCGGAAAAACCTAAAACCCATACATTATGTCAACCACTTTCACTAATTGGTTTGAACTGACACACGCACATATTTAATAATATTAATTCCCTGAATGAAAGACTTGTCAAAGAGCTGCAAAAATCCACATTCCAGCAGGTGGAAGATGAAGTGTCTTGAAATTACACACATTCCATTCCAGTATTTGTTACCAGTTTTTCTCTATTTCATTAATCAGCATTTCTTGTAGAAAACGTATGAAGAGACATTTTCTAGATAACAAAACACATATTATTCCGTTTTTATGATTGCAAGCCTGTAGTGCGTGTTACGACACGATCGCAGATAATGAATTACAAATTACCCTGCGTTTTTTTGCGAGCACAGCTGTAAAAGTATAATAAGTTTTTAAATTATTAATAATCTCCAATAATTGGGCGATTCAGGGCTTGGACAACGCTCACTACCTATCGAAGAAAACCAGTCAGGTATTGGAAAAAGAGTCCGGAGCAAAAATGATCGTCGTTTTTGAATACCACGTAGCATACAACATAAATTACGGTGTCCCCGTTTTGTGTTTCGTAGCATGGAAACAAGGTGAGTACTTAATGAACCTTTCCAAAAAAGAATATACGACAAAAACGAGAAAATTATAGATGGCAGTTCCCTCCAAATGGAAGAATATTGCGAATGCAACAAGAACTTTTCAAATTCCGACATTCTAAGCACATTAACTCAGTTGGTAAATGCAGTAATTACGTTACTAGACGTAAAATATTTATCTTGTAAATTGATTCCAGGATCATCCAGTCCTGTGCACACCGTTCCTAACGTTGCATCCTTGCAGAACACGAGAGATTATGGAACCGTTTCTAAGTAGAAGGTAATACATTAGTGTTTCTTTTTGCATTTCAATTTTCTCCAATGAGGGACTTTTCAGTAAAAATCCCGTTGTCTCGTGGATGAGTGTTATTAGCCCGTTTCTCAATCTCAGCTTGGACGAAGAGTATATTAAAGCTTGCTGAGTAGAGAGAGAAACATCCAGGTAAATTATTCCGATTTTTTTCAAACGAACTATGTATTGATGGACATTGTACGAAAATTACAATGTATGGATTCGAGCACGTGGAGCGAAATGAAAGGTCGTAATGCTATTTATTGCATTTATGTGGCTCAGCTTTCAGTCGCTTAATTGTTAACTTTATGTAACTGTGTGTTATGAAAATGGACATGGGCGCACATGGAAGAGGGCTACGTGTTCACAAATCAAAAGAAATATTTTTTGTTTTGGCCCTTAAACTCTGGACGCCTGTGATTCTGTTTAAGCAACACAACTGAATAAACCTGTTAATTTTTATTAAACCTAATTAATAAACGTTTATTTCAGTTAATAACGGATTTTATTGTTACTAGACGCGTACGTAATGGAAGTTTCTCATTTAACTTGTAAAAACATAGTATGTTTTAGATAAACGCTTCGCAGAATATGAAAATTAAATATGGAATGCTATAAAAATTTACCCGCCTGTTTTTAAATATACGCCGGTAACATCTTTGGGTAGAGTAGACACAGCTGGACACGACCGTACCGTCACCATTATCCACAAAATCTACACTCTGATCTTAGTGTCTTAATTCGTGTTTTTCAGTTTTTTATAGTTTTGTAAATATATACTTTAGCAAAGACGCATTTTTATTCTCCCTTGTTGCAAAAACTGCAACAAATTAGTTGCGCTAGAAAGACATTTTGTTAATTTAATCCATTACCACCTGCAAGTCTCGACATTACTCACTCCCATTAGCATTTTTTAATCGAGAACCGTTAAGGACATGCTTCACGAAACCTCTAAACCAAAGATTTGTGCAACAAAATTATTACCGTCTACAGTTGCTGTTTTAATGAAACTAAGGGGCCAATTCCAAGTTGTCGGCGCAAATCACTGGTGCAGCGCAACTTTATAATGCTAATTTGGGTATCAAATGCTGGTTGCTAGGGGTGACGGAATCAACAAACGCAGTTTTGTCGAACTTTCCATTGAAATTTGCACCATGGAGTTGCGGCACCTCTAGTAGGCAGTGCAAGTTGGCGCAATTTATCTCGAGAAATTGGGCTTGTTTATTCCGTCACCCCTAGCAACCAGCATTTGATACCCAAATTAGCATTATAAAGTTGCGCTGCACCACTGACTTGCGCCACCAACTTGGAATTGACCCCTTAGGGGCCAATTCCAAGTTGGTGGCGCAAGTCACTGGTGCAGCGCAACTTTATAATGCTAATTTGGGTATCAAATGCTGGTTGCTAGGGGTGACGGAATAAACAAGCGCAATTTTTCGAGATAAATTGCGCCAACTTGCACTGCCTACTAGAGGTGCCGCAACTCCATGGTGCAAATTTCAATGGAAAATTTCAATTTATCTCGAAAAATTGCGCTTGTTTATTCCGTCACCCCTAGCAACCAGCATTTGATACCCAAATTAGCATTATAAAGTTGCGCTGCACCACTGACTTGCGCCACCAACTTGGAATTGGCCCCTAAGACAGCAATATTTTTTTTATTTTTATTATGCATAAGTAAAATTATGCGGAATTTCCAATACTTGATGTTACAGCTCGTTTATTTTCATAAACTGACATTTCATTAACTTAGACCATCTTAATTAATTGTACAGAAACTTTATAATTATGATTTACTGAACTAATTTAAGTTCATAACACACTTAATCAATTCAGTTCTTGTGGAAATTCAATAAGACTGTTATATTACGAATTAAAAATTTACAAATGGCAACACATGAAGGTAATCAGTTTTAGTTAGCTCTCGTATTAATGATGAACCAAAATGCTATAGTGTAGAATTTGTACATAAATAGGTAAATTTTCTAAGGTTTCAACAAGAGGTATACTGACATTCAATAGTAGACAAGTTGTCCAGTTACTATCGCTAAATTATTACTAATTGGTGTAAAAAATTAACTTTTTAAACTAATTGTCATAAGTTTGATTACACAACGACACATGTCACATAAAATCACTATATGTAATTAAATATTCAAATGTAAAATCAAGGAAAAATTGTTAATGCATTCGTATAGTATCATTTAATTATTATAGTGTTTCTGTGTGAATGACATGTTACATCAAAAAGAAACAGCCTTAAAATTGACACTTTTTCACTTTTTTAATTTCAGATCGATTATTTCATAAATTATACAATGTGAAATGTACTTTGAAATATGTATGACATCTGACATTAGAAAGATGGAGGCGATAACTCGGAGGCGGTAAATCACTATTTTAAGATTTTCGCCCTATTATTTTATTAATACGTACTATCGGACTTGTCGTTAAACCTAGTTATAGATATCTACATTTTAGCGACAGATAAATTAGGCAAGATGAATGCTAGTATTTTTCCCAAATTTTTGTTTTTTAAATTGAAAACATTTTGTAGAATTTAATGATCCAAACTAATTTTTCAGACAACTATCTACACGTAAAGTGAGAACTGCTGGTGGATTATTAAAAATCACAAGTAACATATTACGGACGGTAGTTTTGTGTAACCATTTGAGATGACGTCATATATTTTTTGAAGAGAATGAATGGATAAATTTTGTCACCGTTTTTCCCTAATCACGATAATCCTAGGGTAAAATAGCCATTTTCAGTGTGTCTTCTAATTCGAAAATAATTTTATATTTATAATTATCATAGTAAATAGCAAGCCGACAGTCGGTTATTGTACAAGTTGAATCATCAAAATCGAGTTTTCGGTTTTGTATTTAACCCTTAATTTTGTTTGAAGTTAATAATGAATTCTACACATATTTAACTTGAACAGAGTTTTTGCCAAATCCAAGACAAACCCGCAAACATTGATTTAGTTAAAATAAAAAAGTATATAATTTATGTTACTCTGTGACAAAAATTAATAACATAAAAAATCTTCCAAAGAATAAAAGTAGAAAAATAAATGAACTACGTTTACAATAAGCTTCAAAAATAACATGGAATGACAACTGACAAGACAGCTAAGAAGGTTGCATCGATTAAAAATCACGCAGTATACCTTTATTACCTTGGTAGAACATATTACTTGGGCGGAGCTAATGAAGTCGTCTTTTCCGTACTCTGTCAGAAAACTGTGTAATAATAACCATTTTTTTTTTTTTTTTGGACGAGTGTATAAACTTTATGTTTTTAGCACAATAAAATTACTTACTTACTTACTTACTTACTTACTTACTTACTTACATTAGAAAGCCCCAACAAAACCGACAAGCGTTTAAAATCTTTCGTCGTGATAACGAAACAAGACTCGGTTTTGAAGCTCTTGGTTATTCAGAGAATGCTGTTGTTCTTCGCTGCACCGTTACTCATTCAAGTTGGAAAGTCCAAGAAAGTGTGCAAAAATTTAAATAACATGGGACGTTAGTGACGATAATTGAGGAAAAGGAAGATTTGGAAATAGGTCAAGTTCAAATTGTTATGCGGCAGGTAACAAGTCTTTTACATAATGGTGACAAAAGCAGTTAGCATATTTATGACGAATTCTTTCGGCGAACTGCCATTTAAATTTTATGGCATTTTTGAATAGTAAACATGTGCCACTTGCAGTGTGGGAGGTCTTTGTGTGCTTCACCACCGAGCGTTGCATATTTGTCGAAACTGGACCGTGAAAATTACGCAAATCTTTGAGTATGAGGTAAGTTTTGTGTTTTCGGGCACAAAACACAGCATGTGAACAAGTACTTGTGACAGTTTATTAAAAACTAGTTTTATGACACGTTTTTGGTTTTAACGTGTGATGTATGCACCGGTTTATTCAATCATTCAAGACCTTAACGGTATGAAAACTAGTTGGGGTTCACACTACGTGCTAACAATAGTGCAATGAAGGATCAGTTGCAGTCAGGTTTAATAACTATTACAAAAGACCACCGTTTTGTAGTGGGCTTTGATCGTTCATGATACAGTTATAGAAAGTCTTACCTGGAAACAAGACATTAAACATCACAAAGTATGAAATAAAAATTCCTAATATCGGTTTTGCACAACAAGTATTGTTCAACAAAGTATATTAGCTTTTTTGTCAGACGTGAGAAAATAAATGGGTTTGCTTGATATCATTTTAAACTGTTTATGCTTTTGTGTTTATTGTGAACATACAATTTTCAATTCCATCGTGGGTTATAAATCTAGAGGTAACGATTGGTTTTTGGAAACGAAGTAATCAATACTTGAACAACATTCATGGGTTCAAAGTTAAGAGAGTCGTTAAGGCGGTCTCAATACGTTTTTAGCATCTAATATCTCCATTATTAAACAGACTTATTGTTATATTGGGTAGTTTTTTTATCATCTTTTTAGTTTTGGCTGAAAATACAGGGTTTTCATAAATGATTAGAACGTCCAAGTGGACATTGATTTGTTCCGTCTCTTTTGAAGTGTCAAATCTGCAACATGTCTAAAATTTCACAGGTCATTAAATGTAAGAAGTTTATATGGAAGCCCTGTATATAATTCCTACTCGTTAACACACTCGAAAAATTTAAAAACTTATCACATTCGGTTCTTTTCAATAACCATCTGCAATAACGATCTGAATGTGTTAACTGCGTACCTAATTAAAGAATCGTAAAACGTAGTACCCAATGAATTTTCAACCAAATTCCTAATTAATTATTAAATAGAGCGATAACAATCAGTTTGTCGCCGTGCGACTCGTAGCAACACGAATGAAGTAATTAGTTTTTCATTAATCATTGAAATACAAAACAGATGTCATAAAAATTCCCCGAAGTCGTAACACCTCCTGTTGCACTTCTCGGAATCCCAACAAACAAATTTGCAAGGAATCGAGACGATCTTTTTTATGAATTACCATCAAGGATTTCTAAAAACGAACATTATACACTACACTCTTCGTACGGAATATCTAATAGGCACACTTATTTCCGCTTGGTGACTTTACCTAATTTACGACAGACTTCCGGCTTTCAAATTGAAATAATTAATTTGTGGTCATTCAAGTGTAAATATTTGTTGAATTAATTTTTCGGTTAGAAACTTTATATATTTTACACGGTCTTTAAAGAGAAATGGGTACTGCGTCTGGGAAGTGTTGTGAATATTCTTGCAAATCGGTTAAGATTTTCGAGGCGAGACGTGTTTTTGTAAAGCTCAGGTAGGAAACCATCTGTCCCTTTTGTTGCCATGGTTGCCATTTCTTAGAAACTCTTTTACATCGGCCAGCGTTCGATCTCTTCCCATCTTTTTTAAATAGCATTCCGATCTCTAACCTACTTACAGTTTTTCAAAGCGAAACGATAAGTGGGGAAAACCAGACGACAATTAAATCCTAATCTTACGGATGTATTACGAAATAGTTTAATTATGAGTACTACGAATTTTTAACAATTCTTTCTCTTCGCTCCTGTCTCACATGTATCATTACACAGTCGGTAGGCAATATTTTCGAGAAAAAAAACTTCATTATAAATAATTACAATGTCTATTTCCTGTCGAAACTGCACCAGGCCTGTCATTATTTATAAATTTCAAAATATTGGATGGGTTTTTAAATGCCGCGAATAGGGTGAGAGACTAGAATCGCCCAAAAACGCTTTTTATCATTTCCACAAGATCCGGTTTAATTTACAACCTATTAATAAATATGACAA